CCTCGAGACGGTGTCGTTTGTTCAAAAAACGGAGCAGGCAGATGGATTCCGAACCCTAAACGCACAGGTCACAGGCAGACCTCCCGCCAGCCTTCGGGCCGTCGTGGAGCTGGGAGTTGCTGAGGCGCCGCCATGGCACCATTCGCAAAGCTGAGTGACATCGTCTACTCTGGCATGAGCGCCCCTTGCCAACCTGCCTTGGGCGGTGCGGGGCGACCAGAGCCAGGCGGGACAGAGCCCCAGGATTCCCAAGCCCTGTGACTCAGAGCAGAGGGCCGTGAGGGAGCATCCCATTCCTTAGGCTGAGGGGCGCTGCTGGGGGGCCCTGTCCAGCCTTGGCTACTTTTCTGTCTGGAGACCTCTAACGTGGTCAAGGTCGTGGCCAGATGCTGCCCAAATTTCAACCCCATCCTGCTCTTTGACCTGTATCGCTCTCTTACATTACAGCAGATCACAGAGCACAAAGTGGAGTCAGTTGGGGGACCGTCCTGCGGGGCAGGGGTGGGTGGGGGAGGGTGATCCTTCTGACGTGACTTTTCTGCTAAAGAAGGCCCTTCCGAAGGAAAACTTAAATCCTCAAGAAACTGATGACATAGCTGTCAACGTGACCAAAGCAAACACATGAAAACAAGCTCTGTGAAAGATAGTTTCTGCAAAGGAAGTGCTCGTAAAAGTCTGTGCTCGTGAAAGGGTACAATAAACCTCTATTTAAAAACAATGTTGAAGTCAACGTGGGAACTCACTCAGAGTCAACCATTTTACCCGTTCTAATTGCACAGCTCGTGGCATTAAGCACCCTGCACTCGCAAACTTGCTCAGCACCCCAGACTGAAACTCCACCCCGCTAGACACCGGCTCCCCACGTGCTCCCAGCCCAGGCACGCGCCATCCCGTTTCTGCCCCTGAAGAGGCCCGCCAGGCCCTCCAAGCGGAACCTACAGTGCTTATCTGTCTTGCCTGGCTTCTGTCACTCAACACTGGGTCTCGGCCCATCCCTGCTGCAGGCAGGCCAGGACCCTCTTCCTGCTTCAGGCTGGACATTCTCCAGAACATGGACATACTGTGTTGTGCTCATGCACTCACCCTGGTGGGCGCTGGGAGTGTGTGGGCGCTGGGAGTGTGTGACCGCGCAGCTCTGTGGGGTCAGCAGCTCTGTCCAAGGCTGCTTCAGCTCCTGCGGGCCTGCGCCCACGAATGGTGTGGTGAGAGCATTTGGTACGTCTGTGCTTCATTTTTTGCGTCCCCCCACCCCCGTGTTTGGCCACACAATCTTATGTCCTTACCAACAGGGCACTGGGTCTCTGGTTTCTCCACATCTTTGTCAACACTTGTGACTTTCTGCTATCGAAAGAATCAATCTTCCTAGTGGGTGTCAAACTTTTGGTTTCTGAGGACATGAAATTAGAGGCTGAGGAGGGTTCCCTGTTAGAGGGAAAGAGCCATGGGAGTGCTCTCGCTTATTCCCACTTGGGGGGCTGGGCTCCCATTCCTCGCAAAGCTTTTGTCACGTGGCCAGAATGCTATTTGTACAGCACTGCAACTACGGGGCCGGCCTCACGGACTGGCCTTCGCAGTCACTGGCCTTGGCAAAGCCTCCCCGTGTTCCCCCACACAGGAGTCTGCAAAAGAATCCTGGGTGCCCGTGATTACTCCCGCCTCCTTGTCGCACAGTCGGAAGGCGGTGAACTTGGTGGCAGCCGCAGAGAAACAGCGGGTAGAACCTGCATGTGCAGCTGTAATGCAAAGCTCCCAAGGCAAAGCGACTTCGCAAGTGCCTAGAAACGTGCTGCGTGGCCGCAGGGGCCGAACGCTCCAGCTTAGCCTCCAACAAGTCCGGCTGTACAAGTCTCAGACCAGAACCGCTGCCCCCCGGGCTTCAGTCTCGGCCGGTGCTGACTCCAGCGAGGAGCTACTCAGAAGCTGGCGACCCGCTGGAGTCGGGGCTGGCCCGAGGGAGGCCTGGGCGAGGCGGGTGCCAGCGGGACCTGCGCTGCTTGTGCTCTCGGCGGGAACTAGCACGAGTCCTCACCTCACGGCACAGCCCAGCGGACAGAGTGGCACTGTCCCCGTGGATGAAAGTGAACGAAATCAAAGCAAACCCCAAACTTCTTCGACCCCCCGGGGCCAAGTGGAAACCCTTTGGGCTGCACGGGGCCGGGGAGGGTGCGCAGGACTCACCCTGTGCCGCCCCTCCCAGCTCACCAGGGGCCAGCCAGTCCCCAAGGCTGCCCGTCCTGTTTGCCTGGGGGGCGGTCACACCTCGGACCCACAGAGCCGCTCAGGTGATGGAGCCGGCTATGGGCATCAGGGTCGAGTGCAAACATGGCGACATCCCTGGCTTCTAACTGTGCTCTCAGCTCATGCTGACCACGGAGCGCGTGACCTCTGCATCGTTCAAATAAGCAGTTTAAACGCTAGGTTCCTCCCCTGGAGGCATCTGTTTGGGGGCTTTAGGGTGCTGAGCTCACTGGCTGACGGCTCCTCACTCCAGGGGCAGCGCCTGGCCTCACTTGTCTTCAACTGCTGATGAAGGGAGAGGCTGTGCTTTCGCAGCTTAGCACTCACCAAGCTGCTCATTTCCAATTTCCGCTTTTTGAAAACGGACCAGAGCTGAGGCAGAGAATCATCGATGGTTCCCAGAAGCCAAAAAGGAAACTGAGAAAAAGAATCTGATTCTTGGTAACATTAGCATCAAGCCTGAGTCTGCATTGCCCAAATTCCACACGCTGTGGAGTTTCATTTCCTGGCAATTCCGAGAGGCTACAATGAAACTTGGTCAACCGGGGAGAGCGCGCAGCCTGCGTTTTCAAAATGTGCTGCTGGGCTGTGTCTCATCACTGGACTCTCCAAGAAGCTTGCAAACGCCCTAAACCAGCAGCCCTGTGCGGCACAGCTAGAAAGGACTGGAACTGACTGCCCGATGCGGATGCTGGCTCGGGAAAACACTCCCCAGTCTGGCCCAAGACCTGTGCACAGGGCTGGCCTGGCCCCACTCCCTCCTCCCGGCCGCTCTTCCCCACAGCCCCCAGGATCCACTCTTGCTTTCAGCACGATTAACCTTTGACATGAACTCTGATGCCTCTGGCCAGAATCAGTAAAACACGAAAGGAAAACAGCTTCTCCTCGTACCCAGAGAGCAGGCTGTGCAGCTCGCCCCCAAACAAGACAAGAGTTAAGAGAAGCCAGAGAAAGGACCTGCAGTCCGAGACCACAGGCCCATGCCTTGACAGGGCTTGACGCCGCTTCTCCCACGGGGGAGGGGGTGTCAAGTACTCGGCAAGATAACCAGTATTGAGGCTGGGGCTTGCTAGCCTGGCTCTTTCTGGGGCCCAGCAGCGCCACAGGACCCCGACAGAGGGGCTCTCCTGGGGCCCGGGGCTGCTTTGGGGGGCAGGTCACGGAGGTGGGTAAAGGCTTGCACGTGCGTGCTGGTGGAGACGGCAGAAATGAGCTTGTACTCTGCTGAGCAGGGCAGGGATGGGTGGCAGAGAGGAGGGCGGGGGTATGCAGGGGGGCAAGGAGCAGTGGAGCAGGAGTGCGCCCTGCGGCTGCAGCGTCCGTCTTGAGAGGGCTCCCAAGCCCATGCAGATGAGAAAGGCCCGCGCGCCCTGCACGCCAACCCGGAGCAGAGCCAACATTGGTCGTTCACCGGCCTCGCATCTGCGCTCTCGTGGGCTTTCCGTGTGCCCCTTCCGCACTCAGCAGGCAGAGCTGTGCTCTCCTCCTGCCCAGTCTCCTCCCTGCCCACCTGCGGGGGGGCCTTGACCAGCAAGGCGAGGGGGTAGAGCCCCAGGGACAGCGCCTGGTTTCGGTCCCCGACACCCACCTAACCTTGACGCAGCATCCACGCAGGCCCCAGAAGGCACTCGGCCCTTCCGCGGTCTATGCAGCGAGAGTGATGGGTGTCTGGGTTCTAGCGACTATGGTTTCTGACTTGCCAGCACATTCTCTCTGTTCACTCGGATGACACCAGCCATCATGTCGAAATGCTCCATGAGGAGAACGCATGGCAAGGGACTGAGGGAGGCCCAGCCGACGGCCTGTGAGAGCAGGGCCTCCGTCCAGCCGGCTGCAAGGAGCTGCTTCCTGCCAACAACCATGGGGGTGACCAGGGATGCAGCCTTGCAGCTGAGGCCTGAGGTCCGAGACTCAGGGCCGGAAGACCCCACTAAACCACATCAGGAAACCACCGGCACACGTGTGTGGCTGTGGGCAGAGGAGGGTGGGGCGGGGGCGGGAAGACTGCAGGTGAGGAAGGAGAAGAAGCCTTAGGAATTCTGAGAGCACCGGCTTCAGGCGCCTGCTCTGTCCCTTGCTAACTGTGTGACTCTGGGCAAGTGTCGCTTGGTGTCGATAAGTGCTTACAAACAGCGAATTTAAGTGCGAGGGGGTAGAAGAAAAATAGGCCCTCAGCCAGGTCATCTTTCCCTCAGTGTTGGCCAGGATGAACTTTTCTTAGCAACACGATAATGAGCGGACACTGATAAGGAAGTGACACCGAATGAAATGCTATGTCAGGCCCTCCCTGCTGTCCTTCCTTTTCACCTAGGCCCTGCCTCAGTACCCAGCGTGGTGATGACTGGCACACCAAGCCTGCTCAGTGAGACTTGGTGCTGGCTCATCTGGAAGACCCAGGGCACGTCCTTAGCCACCAGGGGCAAAGCTGAAATGCTCCCGAGAAATGTCCTTCCACGCTAAAGCCCTGGTGTCACTTGTGCTGCGGGAGGGCATGTGCCAGGCAGCCCGGGGCCCTGGCACGCTGCAAGGCCTTGTGCCCCTGTTCCCAGCCAGGCTGCCCCTGCGGCTGCAGCACGCCTCCAGGGGCGCGAGTGACCTGAGCAGAAGAGGAGGCTGTCACTTTGGGTTGTGACTGCCACACTCTGACCACGTCAAATTAGCTGCTTTCAATCGACTATTCCAGAGTCGCACCCAGTCTCCAAAGAGTCAGGTACCACTAGCACCGTCCTTGTTTCCAAAATAGCGGCGCGCGGATCTCTTACCTGTCTGGGCAGAGAGGGCGCGGACTCTGAGGCCAGGGCACGCTGGCCACGTGGCGGCGGCTGCATCATCTGCTGCAGGAGGTACGGGGCGTGGTCAGGCTGCGGCTGCAGCTTCAGGGTGGCTGTGGCAGGGGGCGAGGCGGTGGGCACCGAGGCTGAGGCCGGTGCGGGCTGCTGCAGGTAATGGAGCAGCGATTGCTGGCGAGAGGCGGTCGGCAGCGCTGGCATTTTCTGGGGGCCTGGCTCAGACGCAAAGTGTGACAAGGGCTTGGTGCTGCCGAAAGAGAAGGGCTCGGGGGCCCCGGGGCTGGGGCTGGCCAGCCCCTGCTGCATGATCATGCTCAGCGTTTTGGAGGAGCCGGCGCTCATGGGCTTGAAGATGGCGTTTGTGGACTGCGGCGGCGGCGGCTGCGGGCCCAGCTGGGTGCCAGCGGGCGCGAGCGAGCGGATGAGCGGGCACTGCGGCGTGAAGGACTGCTGCGGCAAGCTGGGGCTGGCCAGCTTCTCAGGGCGGTAGGGCGGGGATGGCCCCTGGGTGCTGGCGGGCAGAGTGGACAGCAGGTGGCCCGGTGGGCTTTTGACGGTGGAGGACACCAGGTTGGCCAGGATGGAGTTCTGGGAGCTGAAGGGCGGCGGCGGCTGGAGTGCCGGGCTGGGCAGCTTCTCGGGGGCATAGGGCAGGGCAGGCCCCAGGGTGGCACTGCCCCCAGGCGCCATGCTGGAGAGTAAGGCATTGGGCGAGCCCTGGACAGCAGCCCCCGGTAGATTGCTGGACGACAGGCAGGACACCATGAGGCTCTGGGGGCTGAAGGGTGGCGGCGGTGGGTGTGGTGAGGGCACTGGGCGGTAAGGGGGCGAGAGGCCGGGCGGAGGCAGACCGGACCAGCCAGCGGCGGGCCCTGGCAGCTTGGTGGCTGAGCCCTGCTTGCTGGCCGCCAGCACCTTCAGCTGGTGCGCGTGGTGCCACTGAGGCATGGGGAGAGGGGGCACGGCCACAGGAAGCATGGGCGGCGCCGGGTTCTCGGGCTGTGCTGCTGCATTGCCGGGGGGTGCCATCTGCTTACCGGCAGAGGACACGGCGTAGCTGAGCCCCGCGTTGGAGGGCGGGATGGGCAGCGACATGCCAGTCGCCTGGCTGCAGCTCGACGCGAACTCCTTGCGGGAACTGAGGCTCTCCAAGTGCGGCATCTGGACGGAAGTCTTGGCTGTTGCGCCCAGCGTGGCCTGGGGGTGATCTAAGACCAGGGGTTCTTCTGGCTTGGTCCCCAGTATCTTCTCCAGATCTAGGTCACTCGGAGAAGGTTCCTGGATTTTGGTCAGCTCGTCCAGCAGCTCCTGAAGCTCCTGGTCTACAGCAGGCAGGCTGCTGCTGCTGCTCTTGTCGTAATACGGGACGGGGGGCGCTTTCAGACCCATCTCTGCAGGCGGTGCGTCCGCAAACGGCAAGCCCGTCACGCTGCCGTTCATGGGGTTGCTGTCCAGGAGTAACGCGTGGCCAGCTACTCCCATGGCCGCAGGGCTAGGGCTCATCGCTAGCTGAGCCACCTGCAGCTCTGCACAGGCTGTGGTGACCCGGGCTCCTTGGCCCATCGCCAGGGTGACATCTTCAAGGCAAGGCCTCTTGATTTTATTGGGGTAGCCCCCGTCGGCCATGCCTGCAAACTGGAAGCTGTCTCCTTCCTGTCTCCTCTTAACAGTACCCTGCGGCTGGACAGAGGGAGAGAGAGAGAGACTTTGTATAAAGGGATGGCACACTAATGAACACTAATGAATAAGAAACATGCAAGAGAAAACAGATGACAGTTTAAAGACTTAAAGGTGCCCAAACTACACCCTACAGCCCATTTTTTGGACCACCCGCATGCTTGTTTCTGTGTTGTTGTGTTGCATTTAAGCTGGCTTCTGATAATCCAATAAAGACGACAGGCCTCCACAGGGGTCTCCAGGAGACATCTCCGGGGGCTGGGGGCGTCCCCGGGGGCTGTGGGCATCTCAGAGCAATTCAGAAATGCCTAAGTGGTCTCTGGCCGACCTGCGTCTCCGGATCGCCCAGGGTTTACAGAAGGAAAAGTGCGGCATAGACGCGACCTTTGCACAGGCCTCCCATCGGCTGCGCACGGTGGCTGCGCTCCTGGGGCCGCTGCCTAAAATACACTGCAAGCCGGCTCCACTTATTTTTACACACATGGAGCTATGCACACACAGAAATAAGTGGAAGAAAGGACGCAACCACTTGGAGTCGACTCTGGCTTATTTTTACTAAGAATGACTTGTAATCCAAAAACAAACCATATAAAGCTATCGAAATAAGAAACTCCTCTCTGCAGATGCATCCTCAGGTTGTGAGATAGGAAACAACAGGAAAAGGCCCCACTTTGGCATCTGCACCTTGGTGGGGGGGGCTGCCCACCAGCTAGAAACGCGTCAGCTTTGAAACAAAGCAAAGTTGGGGGGAAGGCTGTATTTTCCTCCTCTTGCACGGCTTCACGGAGTCATCCGTGGCCGCCGAGTCAATGAGCACGGCCCGCAAGTACAGGGGGCAGGGAAGGAACGCATTGTGTGGTAGTGATCACAACAAGGACAGGAAGAGGGGCGTGGACACCACCTCTGTGCCAACAGCCACACAGAGACGCTTCTCTGAGAGCACTTTTGCACGTAAGAAGCCCGTTTGGGCTTGGGAGTCTTACTAGGACATCTGTGCCGGCGCTCAGGCTTGGCTGGGGGGACCACCTGTGAGCATGGTGGCGCTCGGGTCAGCTCGGGCCTCGCTGCGCCCCAGAGGCTCTTAGAAACACCCAAAGGGCCAGGCGCCAATGCTTGGTCAGGCTCCTCCTGCAGGGCGGGCCCCAGCGCCCCTGCCGGCTGATGTGGACAGCTGTGGGGGAGCCATGTGGCTGGGGGTCTGGGTCCCCGGCAGGCACATCTAGGTCCTGGCCTTGCCACTTGGGCCCTACGAGCCCGTTTCTTCTTCTGTCCGAGGAGCAGTTTCGGTTCTTGTGTCACGGGGCCGCTCTAGGAAGGGAAACACAGCTGACCCGGTCACTCTATGCGCTGCAGGGCCGCACCCACTAAGGACTGGGATCCTGAGGGCCGGGGGGCACAGCGCAGGGGCAACGAGGGCCAGGCAGGTGGCGGCCCTCTACGAGCACCCAGCCACCTGCCTGCCCCCTGTCCTCCGTGGGAGGACTTGGCGTGGCCCCCACGGGAGAGGCTCTGCCACGCGCACAGGGGACTTGCCTGCCTCCCCTGGGAGGGCACCCCCCGGAGAAGGGCAGTTGTGGGCCAGGGGGAGTGACAGGGGTGGCAGAGTAGGTGCTACATGGGGCTGCCTGGCTGTGCGCCCCTGCGCTCCAGCGGCTCAGGCAGCAGCAGCTCAAGGAGTCGATGCATGAGCACAAACAAGCGGCTTCACTGGGGGCTGCCTCGGCCAGGTGGCTTCTGGCCTTGCACCTGGTCTGCCTGCAGCAGCCTTCCGTGGGCTCCGGGAGCTGCACAGAGCCGGAGGTCAGCCACGAAGCGCTTGGACTAGCAGCGGGCGTGAGCGCTGGAGGCGAAAGGAACATTGGAGAGCACAGGCAGGGAGCCCCGGGCACTCAACGGAGTGCACGCAGCCAGCGCCAGCCAGCCCATAGCCCACTCCCACTCGCTCCAGCTCTGGACTCAGCCAGCACCTCGAGAATAAGCGGACCCCAGGGGGTGCAGGGGGTGGCGGGTGCTCAGTCGTGGCTGATGGGTCCAACTTGCTGGTGTGGGTGCCACCCTCCTGCCTTAGCTGTGCCAATCTGTGGCTGTCAGCTCTGCTTCGACCCTGCTGCGTCAGGCTGTGGAGGGCGCCTGGTGGGGAGCTGTCCCTAGGGGCGCGGGGGAGCTGCCGGTGCAGGGGGACATGGCCCCTCTTCATGCTTTCCTTTGTCCTTGGGCTTAAAGGAGACTCCGCGTGCTGATAAGAGGAGTCTCTTTATGAGGAGACCTTCCGGCAGTCAGCCCGAAGCACCCCCACGGAAGGGCCAGAACCCCAGCCAAGCCGACACAGGCTGAGGAGGGACAGAGGCGTTGACGGGGAGGGCTCGGCCCTGCAGTAAGGGCACCGGCTTCCGCCAGGCCTCACAAGGCATGGTGCACTGTCTCCCGGAGTGCCGCTCTGCGAGGAGCAGGCTGGGCTTCCCACCATGACGGGGCCAGGCTGCCGGGGCAGGGTGCTGCCTCCAAGGTCAGCTGGCCTGGGCTGCAGTGCGCAGCGGGAAGCCACGGCCATCGTTTCAGGTCAAATGCAGCAAATGGCTTGGTACACAGGAACGCTTCCCCACTCACTATCCTGTGGGGGGTGGCAGGGCCCCCGCCAAGCTTCTAGATCCTTCTGAACAAACCTTCCAGCTCCAGTCAGGGACTTCCAGTCTCTGTGGCCTTGGCGACAGCAAGCTCTTGGGCCAGCTACCGGCACAGGGCCCTGCCCACACACTGCAGGGCTTGTTCTCTTTTCTGTTGCAATCAGCTGCCCATTGACGCTGCCAGGATCTCCACAGAGCTTATCTCAACCTTCTTTTCGGACAGCGAATGAAATGGGGCCTGATCCGCTTGTGGTCACATAGGGGAAGATAAGGACACTAGACCCCAGGTGCCCCAACTCGCAGCCTGAGCCGCGTGGTCTGGCTTTTGGGGGGCGGTTGGGGGAGGGGAAGTGAGGACTGGTGCCCTGGGGTCTTTCAGAAAGGACTGACTCTCTCGGTCCACCACCGCCTGCCAAGCCCCATTTCATAAGCGGGAGGACAAAGCCACCAATGTGATCCCGAGACCTTATAAACACTCATCAGAATGCACTAGAAAGCATGTGATGGCTTCCCCGCCCCTCAACAAAGAGAAAACAAAGGCAACCCTTCTGCGAGAGGCCAAGTTCAGCTGCGAAGTCAACATTATTTCTGGTGCTGTCTGAACAATGACATACGGCAAGTCTTCCTTTTCTCCGTTTTTAGTCCAGGATGGCAAAAAGGGCACCAATTTCTGGGAAAAGCTCTTGACTGTAAGTGACTAGCCCAGGCTCGTGAAACGGGACCAGGAGAAGGCCGGGCCTGCACCCAGAGAGCTCTTCCCGAAGGAGCCTGGCAGCTGGGGCAGACCCTGCATGGGACATGCTGCAAGTTCAAGGGTGCCGACAGACGGCCACTCCGAACGGGCCCACTCCTATCGGGGGGGCACCCTGGAGAGAACAGCTCAGGGAGCCTCACTTTCCCACCACAGGGCACCAGGCTGGTGGGCGCTGGGCGGAAATTGTCAATCAGGTGGGCACTGCTGGGGTTTGTTTGGGCTCCCTGCCGGGCTCCCTGATGCCCCTTCCCGTGCAGCTCGGCTAGTCTGCTCTCAGGGTCTCCTGGCCTCCCCCAGTGCGCCTACCAGTCACTGTGTGCGACACTTACACATTCCCCAGGGGCTTCCGAGACCCGAGTTCCGAGAACCAAGACAGGTTCTCAGGCCTCTGAGACCAGGCGCCCCGGTAGACCGGCTCCGGAGGAAGGATTAAAAACGGGTGGGGAGGGGCGAGAGGCCCCAGAATCGAGAAGACAAAGTCACCCAGGACTGGGTTTTTGGGAAGAGGACCATGAGGAGCTGCTGGGTGTACCCCCAGGCTGATGCCACCAGCGTGTGCTTTTCAGAAGAGTCCCCAGCAATGGAGACTGACCTTTCAGTAGGAAAGACAGGATTCTCAGCACTTCCAGAATGGCCGGACTTGAGCCTCTGGAGACTCCCACGGGAGGGGAGTGGCAGGGAAGCGTGAGGGACTTGGCCTGCTGCAGGGACGAACCTCCGCCAACACGTGCTTTGGGGCCAGAACCAGGGGCTCACCGGTGCCAGGCTTGTGCCCAGCCAGCAGAAGCCGTGTGTGCAGCCCCGGCGCACACAGAGCCACCCAGGGAAGGGAGACCTCTTGTGTGTCCCTTCCCCTGCGGGCCTCAGTTTCCCCATCTGTAAAGTAAATGGGTCCCCACTTCGGTGAGCTAGCTCCTCCAGGAGTGCTCCCGTGGAGGAGAGGGGGATCCCTTCTCCCCTCTGTCCCTGGGGAGGGGGGCGAGGCAGCTGGACGGCACAGCCGTGTCCTTGCTACCAACTGAGACTCTCTTAAAGGAAGCCCAGCCCAGCCCACTTGGGGACACAGCTCAGGCCACCTCGTCAGTCGGATTAAGGCCTCTGCAGGTATCCCCATGGATCTTCCAGAAGGAATTCTTTGAACAAGGCGAGCACGTGCAGGGACCAGCAAGGTGTTGGAAGGGCTGGTGCGTTCTGGGGGCGTGACTCCTGGCAGAGCTCGTCTGGGGCAACAAAGAGCCCCAGCCAGGAGATGGCAATGCCAAGCCTGGGGGGCTGAGCTGTGCAAGTCACGCCCCACAGCGGGAAGGCTCTGCATCACCTCCCCTGGCACCTCGGCTGTGAGCACAGCAGCAGAGGCCCTCTTCCAGGCCCCACGGGGCTGCTGGCGCAGTCAGGACCAAGGGCAACAGCTTTGCCTTCCTGGGGGCGAGGTGCCCCCCACTGACAGTAGTTGAAATGGGGGGGGGGAGAGAAATTCAGCTGCTTAGGGCTGCATGCCTTCTGCCCCTGCACCCGGTGCAGAGCTCTGCTCTGTGGGACAGAAGCTTCTACAATTTGGGGGGACCCTCTTTACGAAGAACACAAGCCAAAAGCACCAAGTAAGGGGCAGCCTGGAGGCCTAGAGG